CTTCTGAGCCATCTCTCCAGCTCAAGAATTTTTTTTTTTAATAACAGACTCTGAAGAGGTCTCAAGAACAATGTCAAATGTTTACCTTGCAAGGACACAGAAAGGGAGAAAGTCTTTCAGAACTAGTGGCCAAACATTTCCTAGGGTTGTGAAAGATAGTGATATGGGTATTCAAGACACTTAGTAACTTGCAATCAGAGTGTATACAAATAAAACTATAGCTAGGCATGCACAAAGACCAAGTCTTAAGTACAAATGGAGAAAAACAATTGAGTGATAAAGCCTTAATTGAGTGATAAAACAATTCAGATGACTACTGGATGTGTATTAGAATGTGTGAATCAGAATCAGGTAAGTGTAGTCTTCACTTTGCAACAGATGGAAACCATTACCTAAAACCACAATCAAAAAACACAGTCATGGAACCCAGCTCCAACAGATAAGCTAATAAATATAGAAAGATTGTGAGAGGTAGAGGATCAGGAAGTTTGCTGTGAGATTGTGTCTCCTAGTAATGTTAGAAGTTATACCCATGAAGTCTTACCAACATGACTTCCTAAACATGAGCTAAGCAAGGTCAATGACAGTAGACACACCAAAGTGGACAACAAAGCCAAGAAGGTCTCAACTCTACACAAAGAGCTATAAGCGCCTAAGGAATTCCGAGGGTAGGAGAAATAGTCTCCCTCAGGGAAAAGCACACCAATGGTGATCCAGTACCACATGATCAGCCCTGAAAACGTGGGGGTTGAAGGGGCAGAAGGAAAGGGGGAGAGTGATCTAATTATATTATAATCTCAAAAAAGAAAAGGGAAAAATTTAAAATATGGGCACATAAAACAATGGAGAAAAAGAAAAAATGTAAAATATGAAGTTCTGAAAAAAGAAAGACACTGTCAGCCCCGAATTCTATATTAAATGACACTGTCTTTTATGAATGATGACAAATTAGTGAAACCTTATTGTTGGCTATTTTACACTTTAGAAAAAGCTAAACCAAGTTTTTTTTTCAAATTAAAGTGATTTTTACCAAGTAAAAATATGACAAACTGTAGATCAGAACTAAAAATATCTAGGTGACTTATGTAAAAGATGTTGTTTTTCCTCTGTGACTTGCTTAAAATGCAAATGATTATTTAAAACACAACGTTGAGTTGTGAGGTTTGTAACCTCTGGAGATGTAATGAATAGCTATGATTGTAGCTAAGTGATGGTAAAGATGAAAAATGGGTTAAAGAACTGGAGATATCTGTAATTTTTATAGTGATACATAAGATGTGAAGCATCACTATCTCACCATGCCTGAGAGAAGCATTCGTGAGTAATTCTGAGATGTTAGTCATCATGGAAGAAAAGGTATCATTCTCTTCATTGTTGTGGCCACTTATTAGTTTCCCGAGTTCCAGAAAATCACCCCCAACTTGTACAAGCAACCACACACAGAGAGAGAACATGGAGAAATGGGAAGAGGTTTGCTGGCAAGAAGAGCCTCAACAGAAGACAGAGGAGAGTGAGATGGGGCAATGGGGATGAAATGACCTAATTCATTATACACACTTATGAAAGTGTTGAAGAACAAAAAAACTAAAAAAGCCCAAACCCTAGAAACTAAGTGTCTACCTTAAGAAATTGGGGTAGAGAGGGTTGAATTACAAGTAAGAGAAAAATATAATAAATCACAAAAGCAAAAGCAAAAATCAGTGAAACAAACAGTAACACGTTAGAGAAAATAAACAGGGAGAGAGGTGTGTGCCTTTGAAAACATCAGTAAGGCTCATGAGCATACAGTGATTAGGGATGTGGACTGAATTTAAAAATTAGGAATATCAGGGAGCAAAATAGGGGCACTGTAAACACTAGCTGCACAGAATGGAGAGTAAGAGAGTAATATACTTCATAATATTACATGTGACAACCTAGATAAGACAATTTCCTTGAAAGACACATTCTAGCAAAGTATCCTTTAAAACTGGTGCTTTCAAAATACAATTAACGGGAAAATTTTCTAAATATAAAACCTTAAAGCTAGATGTTTTTATTTATGAATTCTACTAAACAAATATAGAGAATAAAAAAGAAGTCATTCCAACAAAAACATTTTCTGATCATAGAAAAGAAAGAAAAGCTTTACCATTTATGGGACAAAGTTTACTGTGCCGTAAAAAAAAAAAAAAAAAAAAAAAAAAAAAAAAAAAAAAACAGAATAAGACCTTGTGATAATATAAATCTCAGATTAATACTGATTAATAATCTCTCATTAATACTGGTACATGATCCATAGAAAATATTATCTCATTGAAATCAGCAATATCCAAAGCAAGCAAGGTTCACACAGGGAATGCAAGGTTGACTTAATAGTTGAAATTAATTGGTGTGTAATTCACCACACTAACAATGAGGACTAAAAATGAAAGTCAGTGTTGAACATACTCTTTTTTTTGTTGTTTTTCAAGACAGGGTTTCTCTGTGTAGCTTTGTGCCTTTCCGGAACTCACTCTGTAACCCAGGCTGGCCTCGAACTCACAGAGATCCGCCTGTCTCTGCCTCCTGAGTGCTGGGATTAAAGGCGTGTGCCACCACCACCCAGCTTCTTTTCCTTTCTTTTTTGGTTTTTCAAGACAGGATTTCTCTGTGTAAAGCCCTGGCTGTTCTGGAACTTGCTCTGTAGACCAGGCTGGCCTCGAACTCACAGAGATCCACCTGCCTCTTCTTCCCAAGTGCTGGGATTAACAGCATGCACCGCCACTGCCTGGCCATCAACATATTGTTTTCAAAACTATGAAAGAGTTACAAAAAAGAAAGCCTATGACTTAAAATAACAGAAAAATGTAATATATACTGCTATACTCTTATCTTGTCTTTTAGATTTCCAAGACAATATATGTGGAACCAATGAGTACTGATTATAACTCTGTCAAGTCAACCAGCTAAACAAGTGCTAGTCAATATATTTCTATGCAAAAAGACAATAAACTCATGTGTTAGTAAGCCTCTTAACAATGAAACAAATGAGTGAAGCATAATGATTACATACTTGTGACTCTAACTACTTAGGAGCCTGATTGCCAGCTTGATACCATCCGCAGAATGTAACAGCACCATGTCTCAAAAACAAACAACAGGATCTGTGGTTTACAATCTACTTAAATGTTACCAAAAATGTATCATGAATATTTTCTCAAAGTGCTGGAAACAAACAGCAATATCTGCTTTGAGGAAATGTTATTTTATACCAGATGTCCTAGTTAATACAATAAAGTAAGAAAATCAATATAACCACATGGAAAGAAAGGGAAGATGTAGAATGTGTTCTTTATGGTCAATGCAATCATCTGAATAAAGAACCAGAAAAGGAATCTATGTAAAGTCAGTTTCAATATCCATAGACTTAAAAAATAGATGTACAGTCAGTATGAAATACAAATTACATCTGCACAGACTTGTGACAGACTCAATAATAAAACAAATAAAATACATGATGACAGCTTCACAATGTGAAGTATTAAGAGGTAAACTTAATAGGAGATTCAAAAAATCCATAAAAGACATTGAAATCTCCACACAAAAGTCAGGAATAGACACACAAGATCAAAGTCAACAAGGTGATGCACCTTGCCCATGAACTGGAAGACAGTTACTCTCTCAAACCAATCCATAGGTAGGTACAACCTCAATAAAATCTCTGCATCATTTTCAGCAGAAGTTAAACAGAAACTGTGAAATGTATTATCTATATACAAAGGGCTTTGAACAGCTGAAACAGTTTTGAAAAACCATTGAATGGCTTGTAGTGGCTGACTTTAAGACTTAGTATACAGACAATAATCAAAAGGGTCTCTGACCAGCACAAAGTGAGACACAGAGATCAATGGAATGCAAAAGCACCTTCAGTGATAGATTGACAGCTTTTCAGTCAATTGATTTTTTTAAAAAAATGACAAGATAATTTGATGGGGAAACAGATAGCCTTTCCAAGAAATGATACTAGACTAGTTGTATATTCAAGGAGAAAAATGAAGTCCATGACCTGTATCTCACAAAAACTTGAGAAAACGTATTATAAGTAGTGTTAAGATTTAAATGCATAAGTTCAAAACTAAACCCTACAAAATAAAACAAGATAAATCCCTTTGACTTTGAACAAAGCAAATCTTTCTAATATTTGACATCAAAAGAACAAAACTACAAAAGCAAAATTGATAAATTTTACATACTGAAAACCAAAACCTACCTATCATGTACCAATGAGCAAAGAAACCTCTAGACTGAATCTTCAGAACAAAGAATAAATAAATAAAAAGTTAAAACTTTAGTCTTCAAAATCTGCCCTCTGAAATACACTTTGGGGCTGATAAGATAGCTCAGAGTAAAGTTTTTCCCTTGAAGGTTTGAGAACCTGAATTCTATTTCCAGAACCCAGTTTGAATTTATCAGCTTTAGTTGTTTGGTTATATGTATAATCCAGTGGCCTGGGAAGCACTGATGGGCAGTTTGCTGGGACCCACTTGGTGAGCCCCAGTACATTAAGAGACTGTCTCAAAAATAAAGTAAAAAGCACCCAAAGAATGACTGCTACCTTAGCCTCCATAGGCTATAGAGGGAAGGACTGAAAACGATGGAGAGCTGAGAGTGGGTGTCAAAGTATTCCACAGCGAAGACCAAGCCAACTAGTTACATAATGGCAAAGGGTCATAACATTATGCAGACTGAGCAGATTGCATTTATGCACTTAGGTATGTGTGTATGTATATGTATGTGTGTGTATAAAATGCAACATGTGTCACACATACACACACACACCCACAACCACCACTATCACCACCACCACCAACAACAACAATTACAAAAGAGATCCATGAAGTTCATAGAGAGCAAGAAGGGAGAGATATGCTGGAGGGTTTGCTGGGAAGAAATAAAAGGGAGAATTATATATTTATATATCTTACAACCTCCAAATTTTTAAATTTAAAAGATATGTAATAATAAAAGATGATACTCACAAAACAGAACAAACTCCATGATTCCAATGCCATGAAAGTTCATAGATTCTAGGAGATTAATCCAGTCAGTGTAGCAGAAGACCTTGCCATCAGGTGATTTGCTGTATGGATCACAAAGAAAATTAGGAGATTAATTTGGTACTTAGATGTTCTTAGATGTTTATAACATCCTGTTCTGTTTCTTGTGATATATGAATTAATAAAGCTCAATCTTAGAAAATTTCCCCAACATACCTGAAAAAGAAGAACGTTTCCCTGATATGGACAAGGGTGCCCACAATCCTACAGTTAATATAAAACAATGGTGAAATAATGAACAATTCCTCTCTACAATCAAAAGAAAATTATTGGTGCTTATTTATTCCAAGTTTTACAGGTGGCCTCTGGATGGCAGTGAGATGACACAAAATATGGATACATAGAGAAATAAATAAATGACAGGTAGATGATAGAGATAGTGATATAAATGGAATAAATGCATATACATTTTACATGTATAAATATATACATATAAAATATAAAAGATAATAGCTAAATATATGCAATACATAGATAATTAATAGATTATATATAGGCAGATAAATAGATGAGGAGAGATAGTTGGTAGATGGATGATAGATAATTGATAAATGATATACATATAGATGACAGTAAAGGAAAAACATTGACTATCTATATAATTTAAGAGTAATCAAAAAGTTTCTTGGGCAGACCTTAAAAAGTAAGCCAAAAGGCAAAAATGATATGTCATATCTCATTAAATAAAATTCCTACTTACTAAAAAATGCCATGAAGGAAATGAATAGAAAAGCAGCAAGCTGAGAAACTTTCAATGGGGTAAAATGCTGTAGTTGTTCAAACTGGGAACTGAGAACAGGAACTTATTATTGTTTTCTTCCAGCATTCATAAATATTTAGAAATTATCAAGAAAAGTTTAAAAGTACAAATATAATTGCCAAAGAAATAATCTACATATTTCAAATAAATCACTTGCACTATATGTCTTAAAATTTCTTATTTTTTTTCCAACTGGTTGATTGCCTACATTCTTCTGCACCACCAGCATTCTTTTGGTTTGAGTTTTCCACATAATGATCATGTGATGTTGTGCCATATTTAGCTTCTATGTGCCTCAATTTCATCTTTGTAATATATGAGTAATGGGGTCGTATTTTCATGTGTTGTTGTTAGCATAAAAAGAGCGTATGCATTTTAAATGCTTGGAACTTTGCCTAGCACATGGTAAACACTAGGAAAAACCTTAGCTACTACAACAATATTATTGCATATGTACATTAACTCATGCACATCAGCCGCTCTAAATGTATTTTCAACAGACAAGAGTGAAGAGCAGTTTGGGGACAGCTAATCCTCAATTTTATTAGCAGTTGTCGTTGATGAACACAAAGTGCAGTTTGTCATGCAGTTTTTGTCTATTAGATATTGAAATGAAGCTGTTTTATATTCTTTGTATCAGGGAGCGTGTGCAAATGAATCTCGTCATTACTTAGGCCAAATATGGAACACACCCAGAAGGCAAAGACTCTGGTTCATATCTCGTAAACATGCCTGGACTGAATTCTCAGGCGAGTGACTGAGCAGCTGTGTGACCTGGGGCCTGATATTTAATGTTGCCGAGCTTCAGTTTCTTCATTTGGAAAATGAGGTTGATAACACCCCATAGGCATGTATTTAGGAAAAAAAGAAATTTACTATGTATAATACTTCGATACAAAGTACAGCATGTAATATAAACTCAATAAGTGAAGTCCTAATATTTTACGACGCAAGAAATATTTACTGTTATATAAGATGTCTCAAGAACCATGGAAAATAACCCACACCTGCAGGACAGGCTCTAGAAAACACTGTTCTAGGAGGGCAGCTAGGAATATACTCACGCTTGTCACATCAGACAACTGACACATACTCCTAGCATTTTGTAAAGAAATTGAGACAGGGTCTCATGAATGCCAGGCTAGCCTTCAACTCACAATATGGCCAAAGATGAACTTGAACTTCTAACATTCCTGCTTCCTTCTTTGGAGGGCTAGGATTACAGGTGTGTGCTACCATACCTAGTTTCATATTCCAAATTTTAAACCTAAATCTGGATAGTATGATTTATATGTACCATCACATTTTTAATAACTCTGTACACACTATTTAATCAAAGGCTATAGGCTCTTCCTTTGAGAGTCTTCCAATCCATTCTACTTTTCTATTGCCCTCCTAATTTAGTATACTTATATTTGCAAGGTATCTTGATTTAGTATTTTATTCAAAATCTTCTGCTAATTTCATTTCTTTTTATGTCATTATAATGTCTTATTATAGTTTAACCTCTTTCTAATTTATTTAATTTTAATACAAGCATGAACAATACACATGCATGCTTATTAACCTTGCCTGAAGGATACCCAAATATACAGGAAATTCTGAGGAAGGAAACGCTTTCATTTATGACTTTCATCTCTTTCTGCTTTTCAGTTTTGCTTGATTGACTCATAAGAAGTACATGTCTATCCACAATGCTGTGCATGTAACAATTACCATGCCTAGCACTCTAATCATAAGTGAATTATGCACCATATCTAAGCAGGTTAACATTTGATGCTTAGGCTCATTAAATGATTATGTGTGGCAGCTCTACCTTACCCAGAGGTGATGTTGGCAGATGCAGAAAGGCCCATTCCTAACAGTTATAGAAGTTAACATTCCTTGACACCCACCATATGACAGGCAGGGCATTAAACACTCCTCATGCATTTTCCCCTTAAATACTTCTATCAGCCTCATGATGTGAATATTATTATCTCTGCCACTTTATGTGGCTTGGGAAAATTGCATAAAGTTCATACCATAAAGGCAGAGACATGTTCAAAGCCCGTCAGCCTTGCTTCTGCTCTCACCCTTGCTCCACTTCCCAGTGAGAAGGAACTTCAGAGACAAGCTGATTGTCAGTGAGGACTAAGGTGACACATAGCTAAGACCAGTCACCCTTAAGTGGGATAATAAACAAGGTCTGGTGACTGGTGCCACAGACAGCAGTCAATGACACATTTATTACACTTTTATACCTAGACTCAAGAAGGGTTTCTACAGAGAGCTGAATAGGGGTTTTGAGAAAAGAGATGAGGGACTTGGGAACATGAGAGGCATCAAAGCACCCAACTATGAAATGTTTTAAAGATACAGGTATGGAAGTCCAAATTCCAGGGTGGGAGTAAAGGAAGCTGAGGAAAATTACAGTGCATATAAAGAGTGTGAGCAGAAATGAAAGCCAGAAAAAAAAAGCCAAGATTCAGGCAGATAAGGAAGACTGAGAAAGTATTTAAAAGGTTACAAAGGGAAACAGATACTTGAAATTAAACAGGGGGGATATTACTGAAACACAAATTGGTGTACAAAGATTTTGCAAGAATATGAAAGCATGTATAGAGAAACAGGAAAATATTTTTTTGTGGGTCAGAGGGGGAGTTTCAAAGAAAATTGAAGAAATTATGAGGGGAAAAATTTTTTTAAAGTGATGATTAGCAAGTCCATGATAGATTAACAACAAATGCTCAGTAGAATGACTGAGAATAAACCGTAGATATAACACAAGGAAAATAAGCCTACTTATGAGACACAAGGGGCAAAAGAAAAACCAGAAAAAAAGATTACTTTTGAATAATATTTAGATGACACCAGATTTGTAACTAACAAAACAGACCACAATGCCACAAAAAACATTAAATTGCTCTGAGAGACACTGTGATTGCTCTGAAAGGCCACACTCAACTCATCAGAATGTAAAACAAAGGTATGTCTTCAGTGTACCACACACGTTCACAGAAAGAAAGAATGAAAATTGAACTTTAGGAAGAAATATTTCAATTTACGGTGAACCTCCAGAAAATAAGAAATAATGAATAGTAAATAAATAGAAAAATATGCATAGCTAAAAGCTCTTTGGTGATAACACTCTCTCTCTCTCTCTCTCTCTCTCTGTCTCTTTCTCTCTCTTTCTCTCTCTCTCACACACACACACACACACACACACACACACACACACACACACACACACCAGGAATTCACTAAGGTGTAGTTAGAAATGAGTTGAAGCAAAAATCCTAAAACAAATTGAAACAATTGTGTGCAAAATCCTAAAGTGCATAGAAGTCAAAGTAAAATCATATTCTCTGATTTATGCTGTCAGAACAGGTATGATTATTGTTTAATATTGATATTTTTCAGCAAGAATGAAAAATTTTAATTATTGTAATATTAAAAACAGAATCTATAATGTACAAAGTAAAACAAAAAATGTCATCAGTCAAATGGAGACTGAATTGTCAACAATGAAGAAATGAATAAAAAAAAGCAATAGCTATAGACCACATTTGAAGTTTAAAGGAAGAGATTAAAATGTATCAGGAGCTATAAGAAACACATATTAAAATCACAAGTTCAAAACCAGAAACTTCTAAAATGGCAGATGTAGGAAGCTTAAGAAAAAAATTAGTATTTAATGACAGACGTATAGCAATAAAAACAGAAAGAACAAAGAAAACCCAAAGTGAGGCCGCAGTTGTGCAGGGTTCAAAAGCAGCATTTTGAGGCAGAAGGAAATGTTAGAAGATGTGCGAGAGAAGCACAGACCTGTGCTGTGAGATGGTCTGTACGTCAAATGTGTTGCTGATTGGTCAATGAATAAATCACTGATTGGTCAGTGGCCAGGCAGGAAGTATAGGCGGGACTAACAGAGAGGAGAATTGAGAGAACAGGAAGCTGGGTGGGAAAGACATGGCCAGCCGCCATCAGGACAAGGAAGATGTAAAGTACCGGTAAGCCACAAGCCACGTGACAAGGTATAGATTAATGGAAATGGATTAATTTAAGCTGTAAGAACAGTTAGCAAGAAGCCTGCCATGGCCATACAGTTTGAAACCAATATAAGTCTCTGTGTTTACTTGGTCGGGTCTGAGTGGCTGTGGGACTGGCGGGTGACAAAGATTTGTCCTGACTGTGGGCCAGGCAGGCTTCTTGCTAACTGTTCTTACAGCTTAATTTAATCCATTTCTATTAATCTATACCTTGCCACGTGGCTTGTGGCTT